GCCTGCATAACTTTGTGAGGGCAGTTATACTGGGGTAGGGGAACTGGAGAAGCATGAGAGAGCGCATGGTTTATTTGATGGGTTGCTCAAGCTGGAAAACTTGAGGCAAAACTTTAGGAATGGCAAGAGCCTGAGAAGCAGTGGAGGAAGTTATTTAAGATTTGTTGATAGCATTTGGAGATCAACATGAAAGGATTGTAAATGGAGTAGATCTTTCCAAGTTACTGTTCTGAACTCCAGAGACTCTTGCTAATTAAAACTGGGGTTTAAAATAGTAGGGAGAGGCTTTGTTTTTAGGCAGCTCTGCTGCCTTCCTTGAGTTATTTGAATCATGAGTGTTAAAAAACAGTGGAAGGTCTTGAATCTTAGCAAATGGTAAATCAAGGGGAATCTCCTCTGTCTGCTGTGGGAAACGTTTGTTGTTTTAACCCCTGGCGTGCTGCTTTCTTACAGGGCTGGGGAACATTTATAGTGTAGTGAAAGGGAGGAGGAGAGTCTATGAAGTGGTATGGCAAGGGTGAAATGCTTAATTCCCATAGAGGTTCTGTGATTTGGAGTTCCTGAGGCTTTGGGGTAGAATAGAGCCAGTTGCCATGCTGAGCACCATAGCTGGAATGAGAGAAGTTAAGAAGAAAGACAAACTCTTTAATTGTGCCATTCTGTGGTGCCTGGTCTAAGGAAAATTGTCTAAGCAACTCCAATTTCGTGAAGCTGTAGGATGTAACACTGCAGCTGGTCTCTGCTGAGGCTCCACATACATTTTGCCCGGATCTGTGGGGCTATCTGTGCTGCCCAGCTGTCTGGGGCTTTGTGAGCTCAGTGAATCATGTCTTTCCAACAACCTGGTTTGCATGTTTGCAGCAGCACAGGCCAGTTCTACCTGCCATTGATGTCTTCATAGAAAAGACTGAAATTCTTCTTTTGCTGTGCTGGGCTGTCTTCTGTGAATGTTTTATCCATTGTTTGCTCCAACCTTCGTCCTTATCTTGCTTTTTCTAGAATTGCCAAGTCAGATGAACTTGGGGATCTTCTCTCTCCAAAGACCAAAGTTCGGGACCTCCCACTGAACCTAACAGAAACAAGTCTGTGGTGTCTAATGGCTGTTTGAACTGGCTTTGTGCTGTAATAACCAAAGGATACATCAGCTAAGCAACAGATAGTTAGCAGTAAAGGGCCCATATTAAACAGAGCCAGCACAGAGGATCTCAAACAGGGAAGAGAGCACTGGCAGACACAGTATAGCCCTTACTAGAAATGGCAGAGTGTTACTGTTATGCTGATGCCAAGGGCTCTTAGTTAAACACCAGGGTTGTGTTGTTCCGGGCTGTCTGTGACCATGGCACTTCAAGGAACCTTTCTTCCCACACCCCACACCCCCCCTTCTTGCTTGCTGTGTTAAAAAGGGAATGCCGCCAGCCGTCTTGCAGAACAGAATCTTCCAAACTGGATGTGAAGGTCTTTGAAAGTGGATGAATTAATGTGAAACGAGATACCATATCACTTTGTTCAACTAAATCATGTCTCAGTATAGACAGGAAAGCTTAAGCAGAGAAATAACTAGATGATAATTTCTCCTTTTGTTTATGAATCTACATATATTACAGAAACTATTGTCTCTTCTGTAAAATTTATGCCATTCCTGAGATTCTCATCCAAGGTAGTAATTGATGTCTTTACCTTTGGGGATTGTGTCTGAATAAATTAGAGGAAAACTGGGCCACAGAACTTTGTCTGTCTATTTAGCATTACCTAACTGTTGATTGAGATTCTGCAAACACATTTGGAGGCTGGAAGAGCTGAAACAGGACACAACTTGATAGTTCAGAACAAAAATGCTGACAAAATACACTGTCTAGTACACTTCTAATCATACAGGGACTATATTTTAAACTGTATGTCACATCTATAGGTTTTGAAAGCATGGTACTAAATGTTTACAAAATTCTAAATATTTTCACAAACATTTCTAAGAAAAAAGATAACAGCAAGTGAAAGACCAGGAGATATATGTGTACAGTTTCTTGCAAAGAATTACAAAGAACAAAATTCACAGTATCTTCTTTAAGGGCTTACTTTCTTTGCATCTTGCAGTTTTTTAATAGAATTTATGGACAGTTTAAAATGTGTAACCAGGTGATTCTCTTAAATATCCTTCTTTTCCTGTTTTAAAGCAAATAGCTATCCGTATCGTCCTTTAAGTAAATCTAAATCTTTGACTTACCACTGTGGAATGCTTGGCTTCCAAAGAGTTTCAAATGTCCAGAACTCCTCTGTGAGTGCTTAACATGGAATCTGAGAGCAAATATTTTATGGTGCCTTTATGTTGAAACAATTCAAGGCTAGTAAAAAAAAAAAAAAAAAGCTTCCTCAACTCAAATGCAGTTATGTTGAAATTTTTGAAGAAATCACTGAAATTTGGCCAGCTGGCAATGAGAAAATGTTTGATTCTGCAGAGCACTGACCTGGGTTGAGCCTGGAACTTTGTATTCCTTGGAAGCGTTATGATTAGAAGAAATGTCTTTCTGATGAAATACAGCTATTGACAGCTAAGGTCTAGGCTAGGTGAGCGTGCCTAACCTAGGTGATTTTAGATGTGACAGGAATGCACGCTAACCATTTCTGCTATCAGTGGGCTGGGGTGTGCTTACAACAGGGAACTAGGTACCGATAGGCTAGGGAGCTTTTGCCAGATCTTTGCATACTCATGTTTAATGCTGCAACGTGCGCTGTAAGATAACCAAAAGTACTTAGCTATTACTAGTATTAAAACCTCTTAGCATTCACATCTCAGTCAAAGCTGGATCACATTACAACATTTCTCTTTCTACTCAACTAGAATAAGGATTTCCTCTCAAATCAGAAGCCTGCTGTTGCTCCTGTGAGACTGCTCAGGCTTTGTCCTCAATAACTGTGGTAGAACATATGATCACTTTATATGTGCAAAATACTTTCATAAACAGTGATAAATTTCAGAGTACTAATCAAATACTCTGACTTCTCCTGACCACCTTGGACAAAATGCTGAAGTGGAAGTCTGTGCAGGTTTGATAATCATTTAGTATGAAATACGTAATTCATGAAAAGACACTAAGCATTCAATATTACAGACTATACACCTGACTCTTGTTGTTGTTCTGCTCTAATCGCTATGTCTTAAAACTTTAATTTCATTAAAATCACGTTAATGTCATCGGTAAAATTCAGTAAATTTCCTTTCTCATCCATGCTTCCAGCATACTAGATAATAGTGCTTTATCATCAAAATCTTGTTCTTGTCTGTGTTCAGAGAGTGTCAAGTCAGCTTATATCTTCTCTCAGGTGAGTCCAGCGGTTTTGGTCATCAGTTGTGTAGCACAGATTTCCTTTCATTCTTGTAACACATTTAAGAACAGTCTCCAGTCTGACAGTATCTCATTTCAAATCTGAGTATAGAACAAGGTATGAAAGCTTCTAAGTGTTGTAGAAATGACCCCAGATAGTATGAAGGACATGATGCCTTTCTGGTATATTTATCCAGAGATCTGTATTAAGCACCATATTGTTCTAGACACAAAAAATTTGCTTTCCATCCCTTAATTCTTCTCAGCGGCTCTGTTGTTAATGTAGAACTTATGTTTTAAAGTTTAAAAAACACCCCTATTGCTACAAAATTTAAAATATCTCTGAAGCATGGATGAAGTAAGCACAGTTTATTTCACCATGAAGACAACCAGATTTAGTCATTACCACATTAGGCATTGTTTATAAACTCTATCATCAATGATTTTATATTTTCTTCCAGATCTTACTTGATGTATGGGTTTCATACATGTGTAGAGAAAGTATGGACAATGTGCACCAACTTACGGCTTGCACCAGTTTTACAGCATTCCCTTCCCTTTGCCTACCATGTCCAGGCTTTGCTATCCCCAGGTCACCCTGGGCTTGACAGGAAATATGATGCCAGTCCTTTTGTGGTTTTTGATAGAGAGCTCAAAGCAAGAGCATTTTGCTTTCAGAGCACTTGTTAGGCAGAACACCTTATTCTTCTGCCAATGAGTTATTGATAAAGATGCTGGAGCCCTGCCAGTTGCGCTGCTGGTTGTCTGCTGGTAGGCTGACACTCCTCCAAGTGCCTTTGAACCTCCTGACTCAGGATATGCAGAACTTGCTTTAAAATAATTTAGTCTCTTCCTAAAGTCTTAGATTTGGCTACATCTCCAGTGAGCTGCTTTTTTAATACACATTTTTCCAAGAATGACTACTTCCATAGCACTGTACTAAATAGCTTTTCAACAGTTGTCATGTAGTATGAAGAGAGACAAAACTGCCTGACAAGCCCTCCTGTGAAAAATGCATCATCTTT